GTTTATATATTGTCTGATTTTTATTAGAAATTATTTAGAATATGCTGTAAAATGATAATTTTAGCTAAGAAATTGAGGTAGGATGTGGAATTTCTGAAGAAATTTGGCTAAAGTATGGAAACTATCGAGTGGATGTATAATCTTCGTGAATGATATATTGAAAAATGTTTGTTGTTTGGATCCTCTTTGTGGCAGTGAAACTTATTTATAAGTGCCCTGGAAAAAGGAGCTTGATTGTTTATAGATGTTAGTAGTGGTACAGGGTGTTCCTCTATGAAGTTTAATGATGAGCACATTCTCTGCCAGTATAGAAAATGAGGTGGGATTCTTTGTAACTTATGAATCTTTGTACTATGACTTATGAGGGCAGTTCGTTATAGATCACTTGAGCAGGTTGAGTGATTCTCTGCCAGTATACCTTTAAGCTGTTAGATTTTTATTTTTTTAGGTATTAATTTAACTAATTTCACATTGAATTAGTAACATAAACTTCAGTTAATTGATATTTCTAACGGATGCATTGGCATTATTTGATTTTAGAAAACTTTAGTGTCGGATGCAGGTTGGTTTTGTCAATTTGTCGTTTGTCGGCTTATACTAAGGCCTTCTGTTCTTTCTACTGTATGATTATTTGACTGAGTGCATTCTATGGGCAGTTTTAATTTCTGGGTCTGCTGTTTATGGATTCAGAAATGATGGGTTTGGCACATGTTTGGCTAAGGCCAATGGGTCTTGAACTACTATTTAACGGTAGTAGTTAACCGAGTTAAGGGCCAAATGGGTTTTGCTGTTAAAGGTTTTCCAGGTTCTTTCAACATTTGCCAAAAATGGTGAGCAGAAATTCAAAGATTTTAGATTCTTTTGTATTCCAATGCCTTGTTCGAATCAATGGATTGATGCTTTCTTTTGCATTTTTTGTTAGTAAATGCGATTCACACCTTATTTCTTGTTCTATAGGCTCCAAAACGAAGTGGAGTTGGAAAAGCCCCTGTTGCTGCAGCTAAGAAGAAACCAGTGGTACTCCTCTTTTACCTCCCTGTTTGCCAAAGGAACTGACTTTTACTCGTTCAGATATATTTTGGTATTGTACATAATTTTTTTTTCCCCTTTTTTAGGAGAAGGTCCGTTCTGCTTTGAACCAGTTCACCAGGACTCTTGACAAGGTTACTAGTCTGTGTCTAATTTTTTTTTTCTTTTTTGGTATGTTTATTTCTCCTCATCACTATGCTTATGCTTAGATCTTTTATTAGTCATGACATTGGTATCTATTAATCTTGCTATTTCGACAAGGTTGGATTCATCATTGTCACCTTTGAGTTTTGCTCTTTATGCTTCTGTCTTATGGTTCATTATTATGGCTTGGTGAATGGTATGGTACCTTTAGCTTAAACATAAATGCCTTTGTGAAAATCTATCACTTCAATTAGTGAATATCTTTATTCCACAAAAAACATAAAAGCAGTTCTAATAAAAATCTTGTACAGGGTAGAAAATGGCAAGGGGAAGAAAAAGGAAACCAATAATTGTAAATGTTCAAGACGCAATCAATGATGAGTCTTCCTCCCAACAGTTGCAACAAGATGAAGCTGGATCAGAAATAGGAACTGACCAATTTGCCCACCCAAGGAGAAACTGTGATATTTTAATATCATCTATTTTCACTTTAAATTGTGATGTTTTGATTTAATCTTTTTATTGTTAAATAATGAATGTTATTTTACAGGTACAAACACCCACGAAATTCCAATAAAACCAAAAAGAGGGGGTACTAAGTGCTTTGATGTTCACAAGCTAGGGCCAAATGAAAGGATTAAGGTTGATATTAATTGAAATGGGCAAGCTGTTGGTCCAGGTGGTCAAAAGCTCAGTAGTTTCTTAGGCACAATTGCTAGGAATTCCATGCTATGTCCTTTAAATTATGAAGATTGAAGGGACATGCCCGAGACTACCAAGGCTGACCAAATGGCTTATATTAAGGTAATATTACCATCTAAAAATTGTTTATTGATTTATTTGATGATGATTAATATGATATTAATCATTGTTTATTTGATTGTTTCTTTTTTTTTTTCCTTTTAAAGACAAAGTTTGTTTTCTCAAAAAAGCTTCAATCTTGGATAAATAAATCTTTGGCAAAAAAGTGGAGGTATCACAAACATAAACTAGCCAACAGCAAATACTTTGACCCTAACAAAACACAAGAGGAAAATTGTAGAAAAACACCTCCGAATGTCCCTCCTCAACAATGGCAGTTTTTGGTGAAGTACTTCTTGTCACCTGAATGGAAGGTGATGAATGCTACATGTTTTAATGAATTATTCATTTCTTAAGTCACAGGCTGTTATGTAATTCTTTTTTTCTTTTTTTTTTTAAGAATTTGTCAAACATTGGGAAGAAAAGTAGGGCACAACAAAAGGGATTCCATACTTGTGGAAGCAAGAGCTTTGCTAACAAAGTGGAGGAGCTTTTAAGTTAGGATTAAGTTTGATTATTTAAATTTTACAATCATTATTGAATGTGTTATTGACTATATGAGATTTTATAACAGATTAGATAATTTCCCCATTTTGTTTGAGCACAAATACTTGAAGAAGACCCCCCCATTTTACATCCCATTTTGTTGCTATTTTTAATGCATTTGGATTAGCAAATTTTGACTACTCCAGTCCGAGGAAAGGAACTCTGATTTTCTCAAAATTTTATTCTAAATTTCTGCTCCAGTCCAGTTTGTTAGGATTATTTCATGGTTGACTTGGTTTGAATTAGTTTGAATTTGACTGATTCTTATCTTGATTTGAAGACTCCTTGTAAGTTTCTCCTTGGATTTTACTTTGCTGAAACATTCCAAAATGCTTTACTTATTGAAATGTTTGTAGAGAGAAGAGCATTTGGATGATGTTGGGAAGATTGAATTCTATCGGATAACACACACCTTAAAGAATGGTAATATTGTTGATGAAGAGGCTAAGAGAATCTTGGTTTGTATTTGGTTCCATTTTTATTTTCTTTTAAGGAATTATAGATATTATTTGTTTCCTTGTTTCAGTTACAATTTCTGAGCATTTTTTTTATTCACTTTTTGCAGAATGAGGCTGAAGCTACTTTTGAAAAATATAAGCAGGAGAACCCAGATTCAAGCACTAAAGATTTATTAAAAGCTGAAAGGAAATTCATGTCCGAAGTTAGGGGGTCCAAAAGGAGTGGACGTGTAAGAGGATTGGGGTTAGGACCAACCCCAACCTCAATTGGTATCTCCAAGGCTTCTTCGAGTAAAAATTGCAAACTGAAAAAAGTGAAAAAAGAGTTGAAAGATCTGAAGGGGCAGATGTCAGCTGTATTTGGAATTCTCAAAGATGCTGGATTGGTAAGTCAATATCAATGCTGAGCTTATATTATTGTTATAAACAAATTAATTTATGTGTCCTACTTCCGTCCTTGGATGCTTTGGATGAGTTATTTTGATTAATTTAGTGCTACAATCTTTTCCAATTTCATCTGATTTTAAAGAACTGCTCCTTATATGTGGACACATGCTTGGATAGTTATATTTCTATGTTTTTGCATTCTTAGGCTATGTGCTAA